GGGGACACCTTTCTGTCAGCCCTGTGTCACTCTGGGGACACCCCCCGTGCCGCCCCGTGTCCCTGAAGCAGGATCGATCCCCTCCCGCTCCAGCCCAGCTGCAGGGAGGGGACAGCTGGCAGCTGGCAGCTGGCACAGCAGCCGGGCTGTCCCCACCCAGCCGTGACGAGGAGGCTGAGCAGGATCCTGGCATGTCCCGGCCTCCATTCCTGACCAGAGGGTGGAAAATGTGGCTCATGGCCACGGAGCCGTGGGGACACACGTGGGGACACACGGGGACACGGGATGGTCCCACAGGACACAGATCCCAAAGCAGATCCCACCCATGGGAACGATCCCAGGGCTGTCCCCCACCCTCCCTGGGGAACTGGGGGGGTTTGGTGGCTCTGTGCTGGCACAGGGAGGGTGACAAAGAGCACGTGCCACCCAAATGCCACTGCAGGGTGTGGGGGACCGATTACAAGGTGACAAAAAGCAGCAGCCCTGGGCAGGTGGCACCCATGGGGCCACTCTGGGGTCAGGACTGGCACAGAAGTGGGGCAGAAATTTTGGGTGGAGGCCAGATGTGACAGCAGGGAGCTGTCACCAGTCCCTGCTCTGCCTGGGGACAGCGGCTGTGGGGTGGCACGAGGAGATCCCCCGCAGGAATGGGGCTGGGGGTGAGTCAGGGTGGCTGTGCTGGCACCAGGCACCCAGGGGACACGGGTGACTCAGAGGAGCCACCACCCGCTCGTGGCACCCCAAAGCCGCTTCTGGAGCAGCCCTGAGGGTTTTGGGGCTGCTGGAGCTGCCAGAACCAGCAGACCCCAAAGTGACACTGGGGACCCCTCACTGGGGACCCCAAGGAGGGCTCTGGGGGACTGTGGACAGTGTTTGCCCATGAGGACAGTGCCAGGCTGGAGAGGGGACACCAGTCCTGCAGCACAGGGTGGCACCGAGGCTCAGAAGGGATCCAGGTGGGATCAAAGCACTCCAGAACAGGATCCTAAAGGATCCGACAGCAGGACAGGGGTGCTGGCAGGACACCCCGGGCTGGCCCTGCTGGTGACACGCAGGAGGACAAGGCCCTGTGCCACCCCAGAAGGGTGACAAGCAGAGGGACAACGAGAATGGGGATGGGGACAAACATCTGGAAACAAGGACACCAAGCTGACCCCACTCAGTGGGGTCAGACAGAGGTGCCACAGGTTCCCTTGGGGTTTTGGTCTTGCCAAAAATCCCCGAGGATTTGGAGGAGAGAACCTTTCCAGCGGGATTTGGGACAGCTCAGCTCCATGGCAGGGATGTGCCAGGGTGGGACTGAACCCTTCACCTCCCCTAGAAGAACCTTTTGGGTTCTCCTCCTGCCTCTCTTCCCGCCCCAAAGCAGCGTGATCCCACTTTGGCAAGGCCGAGCACATTGTTTTGTGACCTGAGCTTCGTATTTCCACCGGGATTTCCCCCCCTTCTCGAACGACATCCCGATATTGTCTCTCCTTCCCGGTCCCGCTCGCAGCTGGAAAGCTGCAAACCCCCCCCTTGCAGCACTAAAAATATCCCACAGATTGTCCCAGCTGAGTCCCCATCCCACAGCTACAGGGCTGAGTCCCCAAGAGTCCCCATCCCACAGTTCCAGGGCTCAGTCCCCACAGATTGTCACAGCATTGTCCCCTTCCTACAGCTTTTGGGCTGAGTCCCCATCCCACAGCTCCAGGTCTGTGTTCCCAACCCAGATTGTCACAGTCAAGTCCCCATCCCACAGTTTTAGGGCTGAGCCCCCATCCCACAGCTCCAGGGCTGTGTCATCATCCCAGATTGTCACA